GTATCCCATCATTAGCCTCACCGCTTTCAGGTAGCCACTCTGGAAACCTACCTCAAGGTCACAATTACACCTTGGAGCAAGTGCATCTCACAGCCATGGTGAGATAGGTTGGTTCAATCCCAGGAATCTGCTCATTGCTTTATATGTTGCCTTTTGACTCAGGGAATAAGGAGACAGAGGAAGCCAAGACTGGAGAGTAGTGAGCCACTTCCAATACTTAGTCCTAGACAGAGCTTTCTGCTATTCCTTCATTGACTCCATTATGCTTTAATAGTCTTGTTCTTAATCACTAATAAAATTATAAGACTACTTTTGAAAACAAGCTTGTTATAATTTTATGGTTATAGAGGGCGCTAGCATAGGGTTAGACCAAAGAATGTGAGATACGTTGAACTAAGAAAAACAATTCCAATTTCAGTACCAATCTTGTTGATTGCCAGTGGTTTATTCCCCCCACCCTTTTTAGTGTTTATTAATGCCATCTTGATTTTTAGCATCAGTTACTATCTCCCTCTGAAGATATCAATAATTTTATACTATCCAGTCTTTTGCAAAAAAACGTACCTCAGAACTCTTTGAACAATCAGAGAGCTACATGCTATCTATAATCTATGTCCTTAAAAATGTTCAAATATAACTGTTCCTACTTACCTTCACTGAGAACCGACCTTGGTTTTCTGTTGTTTGAATCATCATGGGTCGTTTCAGAATGGATTTAAGTTTTTTTCCTTTCTCCTGAGACTCATGATGACTCAGAGATAAACTAATTGCCCATGATTATTTCAGGGTGAGTACCTAGCATATCTGTTAATTATGCCTAGAATATTCCATTAGGAAAAGTGCAGTGTGCCTTAGTCTTACTAATTAAATAAATTATGCAATGTCATTTAACAATGAAATCATAAATACATTTTTTCAACACTTAAGTTGTATAACATCAAGCTCATATAGGTATTACACACATATACTCAATAAATAAGTGAAAGAGTGACTTTTTATATGAATAAAAAAAGGAGGCAATATTTGATAACACAATATCCATTGGTGAAAAGTAATTTGATTGCAAATATAGTTTCACTGTTTACATACATAGGTTGACCAATGGCTGTGTCTTAGGACTTGTTTCTGTCAACAAGCTGTTTTCAATGTATCCTTTAATTCTGAGTGCTCACAATGTACCCTTTCACTCTCCCTAAAATGTATCCATTGGCTAGGTATTCTTTATTTGTGTTCTTCAGGATTTATCTTCATTTTTGTTTTCAAAAATGTTATTTGGATATCTAGTATTCATTTACTTTCTCTTTACATGTTTGGATTTCTTTTAGACTGTTTGATATCTGGCATTATTTCTAAAATAAATTTTGAAAAATATTCTGGCCAACATTCTTTTCCCTTGCTTTTCTTGCTGTATACTGGATCTTGTTTCCATTTGAACCAACAATGCAATGTAGGTGAAGTAGTTTGTTACTGATCTACACAGCATGGAACCAATTTTGTTTGTTTTTGTTAGGAATTTGCTTCTATTTTCAGCATCATCCTGGCTAGTTTACACAGTGCCCTGTTTAAATTCAGTCATCTGTTTAGTTTTAATCTCAGTGGATAATCTCCTGTTGACTTCATTTATTATATTTCCATGGGTAATACCATATTTTTATCCCCAGTAGTCCCATTTTGTTTAATCTTTCATCTCTTTCTTATAATTTTGTTTTCACTGTCATTCAGAATATAAAGCAAATAACTAAGTCCTTGCCTATCAGTTATAACACCACTGTCCTTTCAGGATTTACTTCACTTGTATTCTTTGTCTTTATTTTTCAAAGGGAGTTTTTGACTTAGGACACATTAACTCACTGGGCTGGGAAGAGACAGGTACAGTGAGAGGATAGTGAGAAATTATTCCACTGGAAGAAGAGGGCTATGCTGCAATCCCTTCTTCTCCATTTTCCTCCCAGAATCTTGGCACACATGAAAATGCCACTGCCGAGATTTTAAGTTATCTGGTCCAGGTTTAAAATCACATTTGGCCATGTGGGAGTCCAGTGATTTAACCTCTATACCATCTGCAGGTCCCAATTATAATCTTGATATGCTCACGTGGTTCTGGTATGTGTCATGTCTCTTACTTTTAATAGGTTGCGGCATATTTTAAAATTTATGCTAATGAGTGTTGTGTTTTGTTTTGACTTATTTTCCAAAAAGAATGCTAAATGTTTACAACAATGATATGTTGACTCTATTTAAGGGTAGTTGACAGTTTCTTCAAGGAGCCTAAAGGAAACACATGTAACATTGAAATCTCTGTTAGGTCCCTGGGGATTACATGAACGCTACCTTCTGGTCTTTGAAATTTTGAGGTCTTCCTGCCCTGTTTGATCTCAGGAAAATGCTAAAATTATAGTCATGATTTTACCAGATCTGGACACTTAATGTACATATACATGATGTAGACTTTAGCCACAAACTCAAAGGAATCTTGTAAAGGAGAGAAAAAATGGTTACCAATGGTAACACAAAGATACATCTTACTAGAAACACATAGCGACATGCCAGGAGCCTGTGATCATCATCCATTACTGATTAGGTGCATGGAGGCCAGACAAGGTGAGGCAGCAGGTACCCAATGACCCACAATGCTGAGTATAATCGTCAGAGAGATCAGAACGGGGAATTCTGTGATAATAGTAGAAGGACATCCGCCACCTCAGTCCCAGCTTGTTAAGAGTTTCCAGCAGGGGACCAGCAGTTGGTGTAATGGCTATTTCACTGGACTCCCTCCCTCGTGGTTGACCATAGTTCGAGTCCCAGTCCTGGGTGCTTAAACTCACGCCAGGCATATGTACATGCATGCCCAATATCCTGAGAGGATAATGGAGGAGAAGGGATTGTGGTGTGGCCATCCCCCTGGTGGTGATTTCTCCCTTTCTGTCTCTCTCTGTCTTTCTGGTGAAATGTTTGCTGCTTTGTGTGAAATCATTGGATCTGTAAGTCCAGTTCTCTGTGAATACAGACCTGCCCTAAGATGCAGGGGGAAAAAATTACACATATAAAATAGGAAAAGCAAATGTCTCTCCAAAAAAAAAAATAAAGTTTCCAGCAGATGCTCTGCAATAAATCTCTCCTACTCCTATCTAGTTCCTGGTGGCCAAAGGGGAAGGGTGTCCAACTTTTCTTCTCTAATACCTAAGGAAGGCACCTAGTGAAGGTTGTTATCTTCCCTTTTGTCATTCCCCATATATAGATAAGAATTCAGTAGGACAGGATGTGTGGTCGATATCATGATTCCCACCAAAGGAACAACCTAGTAAGGCAGATTATCCAAATATGGATGCCCTTACCTTCGAAGTCCACACTGGCCACGTGAGGAGGTCATCAAATACCTCAAACTCCTTCCCCAAGGAGAGGCACCTAAGTTCAGTTTGAAGCTATTAAGATCCTAACAAAAGACTCTGCTCCTATTGTAGGCCTCACATGGATAAATATTTATGACCCATTCTCACAATCTAGTCATGCCTCACCCCCACACCCACAGTAGTAGACCTTCTCTAACAGCTGCCCAAGGACATGCCTCTTTATGCCTCTTTGGTGAGGGTATATATTTCTTTTTTATTAAAAATCTTTACTTTTAAAATTAAAACTCTTTTCCTATTTTATATGTGTAATTCCCCCCCCCCCCCCTGCATCTTAGGGCAGGTCTATATTCACAGAGAACTGAACTTACAGATCCAGTGATTTCACACAAAGCAGCTCGATTCCTCCATCTCACAACAGGAGACCTTTGAGAAGGCCCTGGCTCTGTGTCTTAGCACTCCCTATGATCTTGGCTGTCTGAGTTCTGGTGTAGGAATGCAGCCTGATGACCTCGTTGTGAGTCTGCCACTTTTGCTCTGTCTGTCCCATGGAAGAAATGTGAAAATAAACTTTGAAAAAGTCCTCTACTTCAAAGAAATCTATCATCAGAATTTATTAAACAAACAATTAAAGCACAAAGAATGGGGGCCAGCAGATGGTATACTGGTTACGTTCTTGGGCTCCTGCATGGCCGACTGTGGTTTGAGTCCTGAACCTGGGGACCAGGAAGTTACTTAGGGCACATGTATGTGCATACCCAAGACGGTAGAGAAAGGAGAAGGGACTACAGCAGGGCCATAACTGCCAGGGGGGATTTCTCACCTTCCCTCTCACTGTCTAGATCTCTCTCTCTCTCTCACTGTCTAGATCTCTCTCTCTCTCTCTCTCCATTCAGTAAGCACACACACCCTAAGGCAAAACAAACCAACCAGAAACAATGAAAAAGCAACATGCCGAATGTATATTCTCTTTAAGAGACTCGTTTCATTTTCAATCTGGTTGAAGTTCAGCAATATGATGAAAACATCTGTACTAGAAGTCAAAACTAAACTACATCTTAAAAATCCTAAAACTAAGCCAGCAACTGGATGGAAGTTAAGGCTGAATTCCTCATGGCTGACCTCACAGTTTCAGTCTCAGACCAACAGCTGGAGAGATCACCTGGCACATGTGCAAGCATGCCAAAATCCTAAGAGAACAGAAAAGATGGAGTTGCTGCATGGCCCTCCCATCAGGGGTTATGAGACAGAGTACTTAACCTCACTCATCTCTTTCTCTCTCTTGCTTCCTCTTCCTCTCATTCTCTCTGTGTGTAAAATGAACATGACCCATAACAGCTAAATAATAAATCCTGGAAACAAATGTTTTTTTTTATGTATAATTTAATCTGTGTTGCATTGATAACATGCAAATTTCTATGCAGTTACTCAGAAAACACAGAATAAGATATTTGGAAGTGAAAATGTCTTTTAAATGATTTGTAAAGTAGAAGGGTCCGTTTGGATATATACAAGGTAAAGAATCTTATTGTCTTTGTGTTACAAAGTGTCTTTGCAGTGGAAAGAAAAGAACGCAATGATAATTATTGGAAATGGACGGTCAAGTAACATGGTCTTTTAGGTCATGTATATACCAACATTCCCTACTGAACATTAAACACGTTTGCATGGATTATGAAATAGCCTTCGAACAGCATTTTTCACTTCTTTATTGCGAAAGCTGTAGATCAAGGGGTTAAGCATGGGAACCACCAGAGTGTAAAACACAGAGGCCGTTTTATCAGTATCGAAAGAATGAGCGGATTTGGGCTGCAGGTACATGAAGAGCATAGATCCGTAGAACACCACCACCACAGTCAGATGAGACGCACAGGTGGAGAACGCCTTCTTCTTCCCCTCTGCAGACTGCATTTGGCAGATGGCTAAGAGAATTAGTATGTAGGACACCAGCACTACCATGAGGGAAGAGATCAAGTTAAGTGCAGAAAAGAGAATGATCAATAATTCGATCTCTCGTGAATTGGTGCAGAGTTTGGGGACCACAGGAACATCATCACAGTAGAAATAACTGATGACATTAGAGCCGCAAAAGGTGGATACGAAAATCTTACTAGTGATCAACACAGACTGAAAGGTGCTGAAGGCGTATGGAAAACCCACCAGCACAAAACAAATCCTCTGAGACATGATGACATTGTAGAGCAGAGGGTTACAGATGGCCACGTATCGGTCATACGCCATGGATGACAGGACATAGAGTTCACAGATGAGGAACATTAAGAAGAAAGCCATCTGTGTGGCACATGCATAATAAAAAATAGTGTTTTGATCCACAATGAAACTGACCATCATCTTGGGATATATGACCGTAGTATTGCCAAGATCAATGAAAGCCAGATGTCTGATAAAGAAGTACATAGGCGTGTGGAGGCGGGAGTCCACCTTGGTCAAAATGACCATGCCCAGGTTTCCCAGCACTGTCAACAGGTAGATGATGAGGAAGACCCCGAAAAGGGGAAGCTGCAACTCAGGCTGATCTGTGACACCTGTCAGAATAAATTCAGCTGGCACCGTGAGGTTCTGGTGGCCCATTGAGTGCAATGATCCCTCCTCAAAAGAAACAGAGGCATTCAGATAAGCTTTCCGTTAGAGTCATCCAAGAAAATCACAAACTTTGAAGAGATGAAGGATGTTGTTCTTCCTAATAAGGACTGAATAACTCCTGCATCTCATTCTGTTACTAAAAAGTGCTATGAAGCCTACTTTCCCAAAGGAGGCATCCATAGGAAATGTGGGTTCTTATTACAGGATAAACTCCTAGAAAATCAGTCATCAGAGCACATGCACTGATGTGAAGAGAAAAACATTGGACTCTGTTTCCTCTGCACAATGTGATCATAGGTTATTATTAACACTGCCTTTCCATTGCTACTGGGAATTCTTGTAGAACATGGGATAGCCAAAAACATAGCTTGAGATAATATGAAGTTGATGAAATTTAGGATTCAAGTGTCTTATTTTCACTTTCAAGTCCTGGGATCACACTTTGGCAATGTACTCACAGAGAAAGACATTCTTGTCAAGGGGATAAAGGACACAGGATTTTGCCCTAATCTGTTTAGCCCAATATTCCCTTTCTATTGTGATTTAACTGACATCTGGGTGCATTAGCCTGTCTTGGCATTTCAAGGTCCAACTAAGCGGAGATTGGGTTAGTGATTTTTTTTTCATAGTAACTAGTCATATTTATTGGTTCAAAATCAGTCACATTTGTCATTTAATACTGGTAAAGGAGTCTCTCATAAAAATGCTTTCACTCTACATGCAGAGGTGTGTAAAGTTTTCAATACAATTATTAGATTCACAGAATCAATTCATTCATCAATTATTAGATTCATTCACAATTATTAGATTCATTTGCATTATAAATTATTAGATTTATAATGTGTTGGCCATTAATTGTTTACATGTAACGTATGTTTCTATTCCGAACCCATATTTACATTTAAGCATCAAGTTTTCTGAGTAATTTTATTTCTTTTCTCAAGAAAGAAAACTCCTAGTCAGTATACGGTTCAAGACATGGAGAAGATGTGGTTGGTCCCCTGCTGAAACACATGGTTTATATCAATATAAGTGGGCTTTTATGATTTGATTTCATATCTTTATATGCTCTTTATTATCACCAGGAAAATAATAGGCTCTATAAAGCCTTTTCATTATTTATCATATTGGAAATCGCAAATCAATAACTGTCAAGTCCTTTGTGGAGTTTACGATGGAAGATTTAGAGTACATAACCAAAATTTTAAGAAATGTCCGCAGGCATTACAAATAAGCCTTGCATTTATTAAAATGAGCATGGAAGGAGGGAGAAACAAAGAGAAATTGAAATGTATTTACCCTGATCCGTTTGGGGTCTCGTCATGCACCATTCAGTTCCTCTTCAATGGGCATCTGTTGCTCTGTAATCTTGCTTTTTCAGTTAGAGGAGTAATAACAGTTTAAAATATTTTGTTGGAGAAAATACGGGACAGAAACATTATAATGGATTATAAAGGTATTCCACCTTAGCCTATACCATTCTCAGGTAGCAACTCTGGAAACCTACTTCAGGGGTCCACGATTACACCTTGGAGCAACTGCACTCCACAGCCACTGTGAGACAGGTTGCCTCACTCCCAAGAATCTGCTCTTAACTGTCTATGTTGCCTTTCCTTTTTGATTGAGGGAAGAAGGAGAGGGAACAGGGCCAAGACTGGAGGGGAGTAAGCCACTTTCAGCCCTTTTTCCTGGGTGGAACTTTCTGCTATTTTTTCATTGGTCCATTACACCTTTCTACGTCTTTTCTCACCCACAAAAATCCCCAAAGCCTTCTTTCTTAAAAGATGCTAATTTAGAACTAACACAGTGGAACTTACTGCTGTTATAGGGTGGGATTTCAGAATGGAAGATACACAGGACTGAGAGAGGAATTCAAAATTTCAGTTCCACTCTGGCTAAATCACGGTGTTATTATTTTGCCTCTCTCTCTTTTTTAGTGTTTATCAATTTCTTCCCATTTTCACATCAGTTATTGTCTCCTCCTGAGGATGTCACATACTTTCAGCCAACCCTGTCTACTGTGAGAAAGAGTATCTCTGAACACTTCTGCTTATGTTATGGGATACAAGTTAGTTGTCACCAGGTAGAGCTACATATGAGGGCAGATAGTACAAGAAGTAAGCCCAAGAGTGACTGAAGTTTCAACCTTTAGACATGCTGATATCACTCAAGAAAAATTGTGGGTTCAGAGATGTCTTGCATAGTACAAGGCCCTTCAAGATCTTTGATGGTGACCCTGTTCAAGCTGTCCGCCCTGAGAAATGTTCAAAGATCAGTGTTTCTACTTACCTTAACTGAGAATCTACCTTGGCTTTCTGTTTTTTAAATCCTCATGGGTTGTTCCAGAATGGATTTAAGGTTTTTCTTATTCTCATGAGATTCGTGGTGACTCATAGATAAACTAATTGTCCATCATTACCTGAGGGAGAGTGCCTTGCATATCTGCTAATTATTCTTCAAATATTCCATTAGGAAAAGCATTATGTGTCTTAGTCTAATTAAGTAAATAAATGATGCAATATCATTACAGAATAGAAATCATAATTTTACCTTCTCCTGTGGCAGGAACTGGAATTGGCTTAGTGTGTCAGGAAAATTAATTGAGGAGGCTCAAGAAGGAGGAATGTGAAGAGACTTTACCCAGCATGATATGCACCTCAGTCCAGCCCAGTTGAGACCACCATACACATCCTCATCAACAGATAATAGACCTTATCTATGTCCCATAGGTGTCTTACCTCTCCATTCCCCCCCAAAAAATTTCTATGCTCTCTTCCTCTCTCACACTCTGTTTCTACTTTGTCTCTAGTGTCTATTACAATTTTTAATACTTTTATGTTCTCCAATCTTTCAGTCTCTACCACAGAGTGCAGACACTATATGTTAAATGGAGACATGCAATGTCTTGCTTTCATAGCCTGACTTACTTTACTCAGCAACAAATCTTTCTTATTCGTCCACTTTCTATAAAGTCTCTTCACAATCTAAATGATGTATAACAATTTAATGTATTAATAATAATAAAAGTATATATTCCTAAGTATCTTATACTTTTTGTGACTATGGTAAATGGAATAACTTTTTTCAGTTCTATCTCAGCCTGCCGGTTGTTCAAATATAGATATGCTATAGATTTCCATATATTAATTTTGTATCCTGCAACTTTACTGTATTCATGCATTACTTCCAGAAATTTTTTCATGGAAACCATTGGGTCTTCTATGTATACAATCATATCATCTGTGAATAGAAAGTATCGCCTCTTCTTTTTCTATTCAAATGCATTTAATTTTTCCTCTTTTCTGATTGTGTTGGTGAGGACTTCCAGTACTATATTGAAAAAGAGTGGAGAAAGTGGGCATCCTTGTCTTGTACCTGTTTTAGTGGAAAAACTTTCAGTTTTTCTCCATTCAGGATGATGTTCGCTATGGGATTTTCATAGATAGCTTTTATTGTTTTAAGAATTGACCCTTCTATGCTGATTTTGCTGGGTCTTCATCATGAAGGGATGTTGTATCTTATCAAATGCTTTTTCTGCATCAGTTGATATAATCATATTGTTATCTTTCTTCCTGTTAATATGGTGTATTACATTTATAGTTTTGCATATGTTGAACCAACCTTGCATTCCTGGAATAAAGTCTACCTAGTCATAATGTATAATCTTTTTTATAAGTTACTGAATATGATTTACTAGTATCTTGTAGAGAATCTTTGTGTCTATATTCATCAGAGATACTGGTCTATAGTTTTTCTTCCTTGTCCTGTCCTTATCTGTTTTAAGGATAAGGGTGATAGAGGCTTCATAGAATGAATTAGGGAGAGATTCACCCTTTTGGATCTTTAAAAATAACTTGAACAGAATGGGGGTTAACTCTGCTTTGAAAGTTTTGTAGAATTCAGAGGTGAATCCATCAGGGCCAGGGCTTTTCTTTGTTGGGAGGTTATTTATTACTGATTCCTGATTCAATCTCATGGCTTGTTATGGGCCTATTCAGACTTTCTATATCCTACTGGCTCAATCTTGGTAGAGTATATGTGTCAAGGAATTTGTCCATCTCATCCAAATTTTCTTGTTTCTTGGCATATAGATGTTCATAATATCCTCTAATAATGTTTTGTATTTCTATTTTGTCTGTTGTTGTATTGCCTGCTTCATTGCAGATTTGATTCTTCTGGTTCCTTTCTCTCTTCTTCTTAATAAGTCTTGCTAGTGGTATATCGATTTTATTTATCCTTTCAAAGAATCAGCTTTTACATTCTTTTATTTTCTTTATAGTTTGTTTATTTTCTATTTCATTTATTTCTGCTTGAGTCTTTATTATTTCCTTTCTCCTGGAGTCTTTTGGATCTTTTTGCTGTTGCTTTTTCAATTTTCTGAGGCATGACATTAGGTGATCCATTTGACTTCTTGCTGTCTTTCTCTAATCCGCACTAAGTACTATGAACTTCCCTCTTATGACTATTTAGTAGTGTCCCAAAGATTATGGAAACTCATGTCCTCATTGTCATTGGCTTCCATGTTTCTTTTTTTTTCAGTCTTTATTTCTTCCGCAGTTGTGGAGTCATTCAGGAGTAGGTTATTTAGTTTCCATATATTTGAGTATTTTTGAGGATTTCTCTTGAAATTAAACTCAAGTTTAATTCCATCATGGCTGGAGAAGATGCTGGATATAGTTTCTATGCCTTTGAATCTATAGAGGCTTGCTTTATGCCATATGATGTGTTCAATCTTTGAGAAGTGGGGGTGAGAAAAAATACCATGTGGTATTTGGATGGAAAGTTCTATAGATGTCTTTTAAGTCCATAAATCTAACCAAAAAAGTTAAAAACTTCCACAAAGAAAACTATGAGAAGCTAAAAAGAGAAGTTGAAAGTGACACAAAAAAGTGAAAGGACATCCCATGTTCCTGCATGGAAGAATTAATATAATCAAACTGGCAAGTCTACCCAAATTAATCTACATATTTAATGCGATGCCAATCAAAGTACCAGACACATTCTTCACACAT